AGTCTCAATACCATACAGCAGAATGGCCCTCACTGTGGTCTTGTATACACGGCCTTTCAGAGGGAGGGAAACTCCCTTCTGTCGCCAAAGATGACGCAGGTTCAAGAAGGCAGCTCTGGCCTTTGCAATGCGTGAGCTCACGTCAGTTTCTATGCGCCCATCATTGCTGATGCAGCTGCCAAGATAAGTGACTTGATCAACCACCTCGAGTTCCTCGTTAGCAAGCGTCAAGGGGTCATCGAGTGGCTGGTGGTCCTGCAGCAACACTTTGCACTTTGAAGGTGCGAAGTGCATACCAAATAATGGGACCACTCTGGATAGGCTATTCAGGGTTGATTGTGCCGCCTCAACATTGTCGAAAAGCAAGATGATATCGTCCGCATAATCTAGATCAACTAACCGTTCACCAGACAGCACTTCATCGTGAGATTCCACAAGAGAACACCCCATGATAGAATCACGACGAAATTGAACAAAAACTGGGAAATCGGGCAACCCTGTCGAACGCCACTTGTAGTCGAAAAGCTATCCGATAGGGCACCATAGACCCTGACGCGGCCTGTAGTGTTCGAGTATAGAACACGAAGGATGTTCACATATTTCGTGGGAACACCTTTCCGCGCAAGTATTTCGAACAGAATCGATCGATCGACTGAAATCAAGCAACACAGCTATTGTCGGTCTGCGGTATGCGTGGCGCTGCTCTAGCACCTGCCGCAAAGTGAATATATGGTCTATACAGCCACGTCCTGGGCGAAAACCGGCCTGCTCTTCCCTAATCCTAGATTCCCGTTCTGCAGTGAGGCGACGAACGATAACCGAGGCCGGTAAATTTGTCACAACTGGCGTTAGGCTAATACCCCTGTGGTTAGAACAGTCTGTGCGACTGCCCTTTTTGTATATTGCCACTATAATCGATTCGCTACAATTAGCCGGCACACTCTCCATTCCAGATACGTTCGAATAGAGAGATCAGTGCTTTGCAGGGGACCTCACCTCCATCCTTAAATAGTGCAGGTGGTAGGGAATCCGGTCCAGCGGCACGAAAACGATTGTGGGCTGTGATCGCGTTTCGGACCTCGGCCTCCGACGGAGGCTCTAAACTAACCGTCCATGGCTCGTCCTGCATCACCTGAGTAGGAAGAGGTCCGGGAGCAGGGGGCCAGCTGAACTGATCTTCAAAGTGTTCAGCCCAACGAGCCATACGGCGCTCCCTATTGTGTATCAGCGCACTCGCGATGTCTCTGATTGTGTCACTGACGCCTGGTTTTCTCGGACCAGTTGTGCGTATTAGCTGGAAGAGCTTGCGGTGATTGCCTACTGCTCCTGCCTCCTCCATTTCTTGAGCCCTACTGGTCCACCAGGCTTCATTGTCAGCACGTAGGCTCCGCTTTAGTTCACGCCTAATAGCCCGTCTGGTCACATTGTGTTCAGAACCAACCGAGAGGTGCCTTCTAGCATCCAAAAGATTCACGGACCTCTCGGATATCCAGTGACTGGTGCGTTGACGACTGATAGTGTCACAAACAGATACTCCTGCGTCGTGCATAATGGCCGAGATCCTATTCCACTGAAGTTCAGTGTCATTAGGACAAGACAGCAAGAGTTCGCTATGCAGTGCTTCTTGATAGGCTTGCCTGACAGAGGGCTGGGACAATTTCTCCGTTGCCAATCGGGGGAGACGCTTTGTGCGCCTTCCGGTAAAGTTCATGGAGAAACGATAGCGCATCAAGGCATGGTCAGAGTCGACACAGGTACTCCAGTACGAGCGGCAATCCAGAATGGAACCGCGCCACCTGTAACTTATGGCTATGTGGTCAATTTGGGTCCATCGCTGGCCAGCTACAGGTGGACGCCAAGTGGCACTTCGGCGCCCACTGTGTCTAAAACCAGTGCTACTAAGAAACAACTGGTGCTCCGCACACAGTTGCAGCAGACGCTCGCCGTTGTCAGTCCGTCCGGCATTAAGTCCATACTTACCACCCAGCTGAGCTTCTGAAGAGCTCAGACGCCCTACTTGTGCGTTCGTATCCCCTGCAAGTACTATAATATCTGAACTAGCAGCACTGCGTAGCAGCGTGTTCAGTTCGTGATAGAAAGTGTCCTTGACTGCATTAGAACTGCAGTCGGTGGGAGCATAAGCAGAAATCACAAACAGCGTTTTGTTTTACTTCGCGAATTCACCTTAGCTGATGTCGTCAAACGGGCTGCACATAAACGGCTGTTCACCGGAATTCAATCAACCAACGATGACTCATCCTCGGAGCTGAGAATGATACCTACACCAGCTTGACCCGTGAGTGCCGCGTCGGCGTCTCCGGATGCGTGCAACCAATAACGAGAGGATAAGCCGGGTGCAGTCAATTCAATAACCCCGTTAGGGTCATTAATCCTAGTTTCGGACACACACCACACATCAATACCCAGTGTGTCCAAGATGCGTGCGAGTGCAGCCTGCTGACCTGTTTGTCTTAGAGTGCGGACGTTGAATGTCGCCATGGAAACGGGACAGCGTAGCCTTATAAGGAACTTTTGCCGATAGGCGTCCGATAGGTGCTGTGGGGTGGTGGCTGCAGGCGGTACTACTCCAGTAGCACCGGTTGCTGTCAATTGAGCTGGGAATTATAGAAGGAAGGTTAGTAATGGGGCCGAGATGGGAGTAAGAGAAAAAGGTGGAAAAGAAAGAAGGGAGGCGCCAGCAGTAGCATGCTTTCGCTTATCTGCCCTGCTGTATGCAGCAGATAAGGCGACCCTTGATAATCTGCGCGACGGCCGATGCAGGATGAAGTTTATGTTTGAAGAAAATGTCATGGTTGTATGTGGGCTGGGATACTGCCAGGGCGCCCAGACCTAGACAGGAGGAGGATTAGGGTCCTCATCCAAAGCCTTTGGCTCAAAAGCCTGTCCGAAAGGCAGCGGGGTGGCCGTGATTTAGTTTTACAGAAATGGACGCCATGCCATTTCGAACCCCCAAGGTGAAGTGCTAGGAGACTGAGTTTGTCTGACCTCTCACCATTGACCAACCTGGTAGGAGTAGCTCTCAAGATGCTCGGAGGCATCACCCAGTATAGCTCAATGGGTCAATGAGGTACGCAAACCGTCGCACCACGTTAAGGTCCAGTCTCGTTGCGACGGGGTAAGTGTGAATGGTGCACTCGAAACCGTGAAGACCCACTGGAAGTATTAGTTGAGACTGAAATCCAGGTTAATCATGCGCCATCTGTATGATGCAATCGGCGAACCACTGGCAGCGTGTAGGTTGTACTTGGGCTGTGATATGTTGTCGTGTCCGTTTGCAGGAATGACACTCACTTTCGTTCCTCTATGAATGGGGAAAGTGACGGAAGAATGTTGATCCTTATCGCAAAACAAATGATCTGGTGGGTGGGTACAGTATGCCGGAACATTCAGATAAACCAGCAAGTGAGGAATCATAACCTGGGAATTCCGGATGTATTCATCTGTGAATAGTGACGAGAATTGGAAATGCAATGGACAGGAGGGGTTTAGTAGCAACGATTGCTGTTGTACTGGCTATTCGGTTTCCTGAGGCTACTAGTCATTGCCTGTCGCGGGGAGCCCGGCAACGTCAAATTTCCCCGCCATTTTTAAGGTGATACCGAAATCATTCGTCGATGGATTTGGGACTATTAAACTGAAGGTGGGTCGGGTAAACATTGAGTTCTTTGTCGTACGAGACGTATCTAGCGTCGACACAGACGAGCTGTATTTAGCAGCAGCCAAGAACGTTGTTGGCATCCGGCCGTGGTGTATCCTGCTTCGGACCCTTCCTTGCTGCCAACCTATGGCAAAGTAGCGCAATATCCTTGTCTCTAGTAATCTGGGTAAGTGAGATAATCGTTCGTCATCGTAGCGAATACATTGTCGAATTTACTTGTCTCCCGCTACGGTAGACGTTCGAATACAATGTCTGTTGTGGCAGCTATTTTTCAGGGTCTTATCTGGAAATATTGACCATATTGCTGGAAACACTTTAGGTGAAATGGAAGCCGGAACTCTTTTATCCCGGATTCAATAAAGAACAAGCAACCAACAGTTGAATTTCGCGGAGCGAGCTCATTGGCCTGGGATTTTCCAGCCTAAGATCGCTGGGTCGTTACTATTAAAGTCGTATGCCGGGATACGGTCCCTAAAATCGTGGGCCCTATCTTTTCATTCTTTGCTCCATTTGGGAGTCAGCTGAATCTCCTAAACCAATATTACTACCTGTAACGCGTTGGAAGAGCTAGCTGTGTGTTGATTGGCCCATTTAAATGTCTTTATTTTCGGACTTGATTTCAGAAGTAGCGCTCAAACACCCGGGCTGTTTCATGAACTCGGGATAAGCCGTAGTCAGTATACGACGGCTGTGAAACGCCCCATGAGGTGCATGCGAGTTATGCATAACAAGGTTAAAAATGCAATATGCTAAATTGATAAAAGTGAAGTCGACAAGTCATGAATTCACTGGAAGATTAGGGAAAGACTCAATTGCCGAAAAATACGATGGATTGTTCCAAGTTCGCGCGTGCAAGTTGTGGTCAACATTCCTTAGGACTCGTAAGTGCGATTTCAGAGGCCGGAACGTAATCGAGTGCAAATATCAGAAGGCGAATGAGGTCGAGTACAACGGCCTGTATTGCGTGGTGGGCTGCAATGAGACCTGAACGGATGAAGCGAATAGGGCGCAGTAAAACCAGAATAAATTGTGCAAAGTGGAACTGTAACCTAAGGTAAGCATCCTTTAATTTAGCTCGCTACAATGCCATTCTAAATGCAGCACGGCGTGGATATTGTACTACATGTCTCGCGGTTCGAAGTCCCCTTCAACATTAATGTCTTTCGCATTTTCGGTAATTGTCAACTGATATGACAGTTGCACTGCCGTTACTGGCTACTTTAATATACTCTAACTTCGAATTGTGCACATCCCTTTTGTTCACTTGTTTTTTAGTTTATCCTTAGTTTATCCTTACTCAACAGCAATCCCATTTTTGTAGTTTCCGAGACGCACTTTCTTTTACGACAAACCGCGTGAATTTACTCATGGTAGCTCGATAGAATGCTTTCCTCAAAATTAACTGGTAAGTGTGCATCCGTTTTCACCGGTCCGTTTTCGTCCAGCTCTGAAGAGTTTGGCTTCCGCAAGCCTGGATGGCTTCTTTTTGTTCGGCACTCTATGCCACACTAATGATGACAAAGATCCCCCACGGAAGTTCAAGGCTTCGCCCTCAACGGATCTTCCTCTGGTACTCAATAATTTTAGTCACGATATTCTTTCAGTACTACGGGCGTTGCTCAATGACTGTCAGGAAGCCTTGGAATGTCTCACTCGAACTAAATTTGTCTGCTCCAACCAAGTGGATGAAAAAGGATGAAGAAGTTCAGACCGACGCCGAATTACAATTATTCAGTCTGGAAACTACAGAGGAGCAGTTATCAGAATGCGCTCATATGCTCAATATCTCGGTTTGTGATTTTCCAGTTGTATTTTTGCCATTGTTTATTAGATTTCATGGGGTCGAGGTTAATTTATTTCACTTCTTGGTCATGCAACAGCAAATTCTTTTCGCACTTCCTGTCCCGCGGTTTTTTAGCGCATTAATGGAATTTTCTCCCCGTTAACACCACTGACGACCGAGTTACCTTTTATGTAAAAGCACAATTCGATGAACGACATATGCACTCGCGTCGTGTTGTTTCTCTAAGGTGACCACTTTGTATGCTTGACTAGTCATTTTGAAACCCAGACTTACAGTTCACTTAGAACTGCCAACGCAAGCATCCGTCATCAGATCGGACAACATAATCGACTATCTCATCTTTACATTTAGAAACAATTCCCGGAGGAGATATCAGGAACAAGTGGCAGCGAACAGACTCGTTTTCATTGGTTCCTCATCAGGCTGTTACACCCGCAACTAGGCGCACTACACTAGATACATGAGGTTTAAACGCAGTGAGTCACTGAATCTAGGTGTTTAATCGATAAGGTTACGTGATTGGCCTAGTAAGTGTGAAGTCGGGGGAAGTGGCGTGATCGCCATTTTTCGTTGTGTTGGCATGTGGCCAAGCTAGAGAGAAAGTACCAGATGACTGTTTGACCCAATTGATGCTCGTTAGTGGTGCGCATTCTATCGGTCCCCTTCGGAGAACCGAGCTCTTGATTGCTAGCAGCCGTCGGTCACTAACCAGGTGTTAAACTTCAATGATGCTTGCACGTCTACCATATTCGCAACCCGCAAATCAGTAGTACCAGTCTGCAATTTAACATTAATCGAACGGAGTAGAGGAACTGAATGCTACTTAGAATGGCCTTCAATAGACCACGAAATGAGCAATTAAGGTCGCTTATCTGCCTGATCTGAGGTGTGCGAATAGTAGGTGGATTTCAGGAGCCTTGATTGCAGCACGTAAGATGATCCCATTGGGTTGTCAGTTTAAAGAATTCATAACACTCAGGCGCGTCATCTTATTAGAGGTCTGTGAATCCACCGAGATCATTGGTCGAAGACGAGGGACCGTGAGATGGATAAGACTATCGATAATGGGAATACCGGAGTGTTGTATCAATTCCTTCGACGACTGGCTTAAAAGGGGCTCTCAGTCAGCAAGACTGCTCGGAGAAGATCGACGTATAATTCAATCATTCACGTCGGCACGGGGCCAATGATTGTCACGCCGTACGGTTTCATCCTAACTCGGCTCTCGCTTTGCCCACTTTGGCCATTCTAATTATCCTCACACCTTGTGCGTGTGCTCTTTTGAACCAGTTCGATGAGCGCTACTCTTGGATCTAACTTGTGTGGGTCATACCGTTGCTCCAGCTCTCAGTTTTGGCAAATTCTTTGTAGAGTTTTACCCGTGTAATTACATCAATCCTGAGCTTTTCGGGAAACAATTTGGTCTCATCCGGAAGAAGCTGTGTACTCAAATGACACTGCAACCATTTTTGCAGACTGCAGCACAATCAAGTTACGAGACATTTTGTGTCGCTCATCCACCAAGCATCGCGTGCGAGACACTTAGGGACACTTATCAGCGCTCCGCTTGCATCGTCGCGTAACACGAACCGATCAGTACACGCCGCCGCTTCGTGTGGATTTGTGCGCAGAACCGCGAGATGACCTATCGTTGACTCCGGCAACGTGCGCGCGATTGCGAGAGAGATTTGAGGTGAGACAGCCATCTGTCTCGACGGACTGACTTGGGCACGGAACAGTCAATCTAGAGTTCAGGGTTGAAGTAACCGTCAACACGTTCACACGACCTGATGAGCGCGAATGACCGACCAGCAGTCATCATCATCAACAGCACTACATAAGGTACTTGAACTGATTGCTTCCGTTCAACCATGATGACATACTGAACGAAGAACCATAAGAGTGAGAGCGTGGGGACCTATGGTAAAACCTTGATGCCCTGTACCAACACTCCGTGTCAAGTCGCCTACACGTTGTCAACAACATGCCGTCATTAACAGCTGGCTAGTATACAAAGATTAAGCGGCGTCAGCGAGACAGTTTCCTTGCAGCTTTCACTACCCGTGTCATAATCAGCCATTACCCTGCAGACGACCAGTAGTGCCTAAAAGCGCCTGTGGAGCGTGCAATAAGATGGTCAGAGTAGAGATTTCACGTTCAAATTACCTATTTCCATGCCAAATTCGGGAACATCGAACCAACCGAGTTTAATCTGATCAGCAGCAGGCTAGACTTATTTTGGTTCTGCGCGATGTGTAGTCGCACTGTTCAGGAAGTATGATAGGCTGAAAGAATTGGTTGAGCAAATTTTAGACACCAAAATAGCTTCAGTAGGAACAAGCATAGCAGAATATCCGACAGGCCTCTCCACCGAACTCCACCGCAAGCCAATTCAACAATGCCAAGTGTTATACTAACAAAGTAACTCTTGCAAACACTGCCATTACTCCAAATCGCCCAAGCGTTTTCGAACTCTTCACCTCCAGCCTGTTTGCAACAATTTCTCCCAAACCAACTGCTTCCCACCAGTTGTGGTCACTTCTCTCTCAATTCTGCCATGATCAGCAAGCTACTTAAGGTGTCGGCCAAGAATAATTAAAGTTGTCCACCGCAATGAGGCTGGACCTTACCATGGTGCGATGGTTTGTGTGCCTCAGTGATCCATTGAGCTATACTGTGTGGTGCTTTTGCACCTTCAGAGCCACTCATACCAGATTGGTCAATGGTTAGAGGCCAGACAAACTCAGCCTCCTGGTCCTCCAGGTTGGGGGTTGGAATGAGGGTGGCTCCTTATTCCTTAAAACGGACTCCTTGTAGTCCAGTGCCAAACCCGCTGCCTTGCGGTCAGGTTTTTGAACCAAAGGCTTTGGTTGAGAACCCTAATCGTTCTCCTGTCTAGGCCTGGGCAACCTGACAGTATCCTGCCCACGCAATACAATGAATCTTTCCCCAAACAAATTGCTGATGCTCTGGCCACCGCAGAGGATAATCAACGGTGCCCTATCTGCTGCATCGAGCAGGGTGGATAGGGGTTTGGATGCTACTGCTCAAGCCTTCCCATCTTCTTATTCCCCTTCTTGCGCTTTTTCACCCTTATCGTCCCGTTCCAGCTTCACTTTTATCCCCCCTGTTTTCAACCCCCAATTCTCGGCCCTCCCCCACCTTGCTTCAATAGTCGCTTGTCTTTTAGTTTCAACTCACAGGCGAACGCAGAGCGTCATTCCTGCACTGTCAACAGGCCCATGTCCAAGCAAGCGGCCCATTCCAGTTCATCGGCTTCCATTTGGAGCCCTCGATCCTCCTTCAGACTGGCATGCCTCAATGTTCGCACATTGCTTCAGATCGGTCAACAGGCAGCACTTGTCCGAACATTAGAGACCCTCTCGATCGATATCTGCTGCTTATCGGAGACCCGCCTGCAAGACTCGAGCTCTGTACTCACTCTGCGATCCCCTTCAGGTGACACTAGCAGCACTTTCTCATTGCGCCTATCCGGTGACGATGCAGCTTCGAGCACTGGCCAAGCCGGTGTTGGTATTGCCCTGAGTCCTCGGGCTGAAGCTGCTCTGGTTGATTGGATTCCAATCAGTAGCCGGATGTGTGCGGTCCGATTGGCTGGCTCGTTCAAAACTTCGAAGTCGCGTGGGACTAACAGGTGTCTATTCGTTATCGCTGCCTATGCACCGACAAACTGTAGCGATGACTCGGTAAAAGACGACTTCTATCGCCAACTGAACGAACTGCTTCGCCACAGAAGAAGCTCGGACACTGTAGTGCTGGCTGGGGATCTGAACGCTCAAGTTGGAAAATTATCCACAGATGAGCTGCATCTGGGCGGCCAACATGGTATAGGCTCCCGTAATGATAACGGTGAGCGGTTACTTCATTTGTGTGAAGATGCTCGCTTATTTCTTGCGAGCACTAATTTCCGACACAGCACCCACCGGAGGGTGACTTGGCGCCCACCAGCCTCGAACCAGCTATGGACGCAAATCGATCACATTGCTATCAGTTACCGCTGGAGAGGCTGCGTCCAGAACTGTCGCTCGATTTGGAGCACAGGTGTTGACACCGATCATGCACTTGTATGTGCTGACCTGCGGATGCGCTTTGGCGGACGCCCGCGACGATGTTGTGAGCGCATTGACACCGGCAGACTGGTGAAGCCAGCTGTTCTGAACGCCTATCAAATTACGCTGTCATCCGAGTTGGATAAACGCTCACTGGATGCAATTGAAGCTCACTGGTCTCATATGCAACAGGCCTTACTAGCAGCAGGCAAATCCTCATGTGGTATGTCTAATCGCCAACATGAACATTGGGTCTCTTCACAGTCTCTGGAACTTATCGATGCTCGCCGGCATATTCCGGCTGGAAGCGAACACAATGAAACTCGCAAAGAGCTCCGGGCAAAACTCCGTGCTAGCCTGAAGAGAGACCGCGAATCCTGGTGGTCTCGTCGTGCAACAGAGATGGAAATGGCCGCTGCCCTTGGTAACCATCGTGAGTTATTCCGTCTTATACGGGAAACGGGCAGCAGGAGACCTGGTGTTAGTGAAACTATACGTGACGAGAGTGGACAGCCTATCCACAACTTATCAAAACGCCTGGAACGTTGGGCTGAGCACTTTGAACGGCAATTTAATCGGTCGGAATTGTTAGATTTCTCGCCGACCAGTGATCGCCCCGCTCCGTGGGCTGTTCCTTTGGATCCACCCTCTCGCTCAGAAGTCGAACATGAGATCGGACTGTTGAAGTTGAACAAAGCCGCGGGACCTGATGACCTTCCTCCAGCCCTCTTCAAATTCGGGGGACCTGCTCTTGTGGATGATTTACACGAGTTACTAGTGAGACTGTGGGAGCAGGAGACTGTCCCAACCGATTGGAGCCGCTCCATCATAGTCCCAGTTTTCAAAGGAGGCTCACGATCGGAATGCGGCAGCCATAGAGGAATCAGTCTGATCTCCATCGCCTCCAAATTGCTTG